CGCCACCCATGATGGACAGGAACGCAATAAACTGGCTGTCTCCCTTCATCAGATTGCCGCAAACATGAAGGGAATTCACATGGCAAAAATCGGGATGGACACTGGGAAATACGGGCAGAGTAATGCTGCGATCGTAGTCCAACTGAAGCTGTTGAAGGGAAGGCATGCTCAACGATGCCATGAATCCGTCTATGACAGTCAATGCTGCCGAGTCCTCAATGCAAATTTGGAGATCCTTCAAGCGAGGTAAAATCACGATATCCGGCGCGGAAATCGCCCCTTCGTTGTCCAACGTCACTGTAAGCGATCGTAATGAAGTCATCTGCCGTAGCGCTTTAAAATGCTTCTCCTGAAATGCGTGGAAATCACTTTGATAGAAGACAAGACGAGTCCACGGCATCTGCACCATGTAGAAGAGATCGTCTGTAGCAGCTATGAGCCTGCTTAGCTTTGGGAGAGAGAAAAGCGTGGTGATCTGTGTACCTCTCTCCTCGTCATCGTCAAAGAACTGATACCCGGTTATGACAGTCTCAAGAAGAGGGAAAGGATAACCGGCAAAAAAACGTAGGATCGGCAATAGACAATCGAAGACAACCGTTTCCCATCGCATCGTAGTGGCCTCGATGACGAATGACAAAGGATGATTGCAGAACTGGGGTGTTTCGTCGGCTATCAACTCCACGGAAAGAGGTAATCTTGAAGAGCGCTCCATGTGAAGAGTTGCGAGGTATAATACTTGACGGTGGGGTTTGTCTTTATAAAGTGGAAAAGAGAATGACAGTGAAGACCAAAGAGAGGGAGAAGAGAGGACGAGATTACGCCACCGCTGGCATACGTAGGACAGATACCAGGGGGCGCACTCAGTCGACAAAGAATCCTTTTTGTATCTGCTCTCAGATAGATGGGCGCCAACGCATTGGGCGAAAATCATCGAAAGGATTTCGCTCGGGATAGACCGAATGGGATGCGCAATTGCTTTGACAGTCTGAAGCACACTACCAACCTCGATGATACGCTTCTCGAGGGCTTCGACGGTGTTTTTAGCCCTAAAGAGCATGTCTCTGTACTCAGAGAGGCTGTTCTCAGAATCAGAGATGATGGAACGCAGATCGTCGCTTTCACAACTGTCCGGAGGCGTGTTGACAGTCGCCAGATATTGAAACCGGTCCAGCGAATGCAGTATGAGAGGCGGGATTTGGAAGGTACAAGGTGAGGTATCATCGTCAGCCATAGCTGGCTGCTGACAAGGTCTGGTCGATGTTAGCGATCAAACAGCAATGGTACGTGTGCGTCACGCCTTACATTGAGGCTCGCGGCCTTGTGAGCACGATTAGGAACGCCTTAGAATGTTGTATAGATGAAGATGGTCGGGGACGAGCAGAGGACGCGTCGTTATTGGCAAGGACTCCAAGAAGACGATGGAGGCAAGAGCAAGAAACGTACGTCACGTGTTTATACTCCGCCGGCTGCAGCGTCCCGCCATAGTGACTACCGAGAAGGCGTCTCGACTTGTTCACGTCCTATTTACTTGTAATGTGCAAGTAACGTGAGGAAACTGTTAGCAAGTGGAACAGGACAATTTTTTGAGAGCAAACCCGAAGTGGTACAGAAATACAACACTCGTAGCTAAATAAATAACCGTCATGAATCCCATCGAAGGTCCACTAAAGTCGGTACAAAAGCCTGTTGTCCAGCCCTACATTTTGTATGTTTGTGTCCACTTTTACCTGTCACTTTGATTCGAGCTACTGTCACAACAGCACCGCAGCAACCAACCCTGCAGCACCCATTGCAATCAACGGCGCCTGCACATACTGCGCTGCATTGCCCTCGGTCGTGGCGGTACCGGAAGCCGCTGTACCGGTCAACGTGCCGCTTGGGCCAGTAACAGAAGAGAGTCGACTTGACAGTGAGCTGGATATCGAGCTCAGTTCAGAGGAAACCGAGCTGGCGCCAGAGCTAAATTCCGAAGACAAGCTGGATAAGACGGAGGACAAGGTGGAGTCTGTGGCAGTCGTGGTGCTGTCGTGGACATCAGTAAGGACGCGCGAAATGTAACAAGTGAGACTCGCGTTGGGATTTCAGAGGAAATCGAGGAGAAGATGGACGAAATCTCAGAAGATAGAGATGAGTCTTGGGCATTGGCGGCGAGCGCCATGGTGAACACGACGGTTACAATGGTGAATCGCATAATGGTCGTGCTTGAAGTTTTTGGTTCGGCTGGATATGGCGTTTCGCACCAGCATCCGACGTTATAAAGAGAGGTTGCGAAACATGACGTCAAGTATGCGGGAGGGAACGCGGAAGACTAGCTCGACGCGTCATGGAGGCCACGGATGTCTGGAGCTCGCGGTCATGGGGACATGGATTGTATTGAATACAGAACCGTTGATGCAGTTCGCCACTTGTCCATGCAATGCAACAAAAGAATAGACGCGTTGAACAGGCTTCTTCCGGTCCTACCAAGTTAACACCATTAGACGAAGGTTGTTTGTGTAGATCAGGAAAGAAAGACGGAATACACGATTGAAAATTCCTTGTCGAGTCGGTGAAAGCACCGTTCAAGAAATATATTGACGAGACGTCCGCGCCAAGAGCCAAGCACGAAACATTATAGGAAGTGACCTTCTTCATTGCGCAGTCCGATTGTAGAGTCTAATTCCGCTTCAAATTCGAATTGGAAAAGCGGACCGCGATAATCGCAAAGTTGAAACTTATTAAATTAGACGCGGAGTGAAGCGATGAAGTAGTATCTACTTGAAGCTCATTAACTTAGAGCAACGAGAATCAGGACAACACGCACCAGAGGATAACGAAGAGGCTCTATGTATCGAAAGGAGCGAATCTACAGGGTAACAAGACGACTGAGTATCGTAATCTATGGAGCGAACGAAAGCAGGATGACAGCAAGCGCGACAGCAAATAACGAAATGATGAGATTGAGGGTGTGTCATGCTCTGGGAGCGCATTCCTCCCAAAATTCAGTGGTTTGTCCATATAGGGGCTATCATGATCGTCAGCGAAGAAAAATCGATTATACACAGGCGTATAAATCCCGACCTTGTTATAAGCGCTGGCCACGTCTAAGCCGAGCCGTTAGAGCAGACGTTATCACAAGGAATGAGCATAACTCACGGTCTTTGCGGGATTTAAAGTACATGGTCAAGTCGCGCCCCGAGGGATCTTTGACTGACACGAGGCAGACTTGCCCGGGGAGGAACCGCATCCCGATGATCCACGCGTTTACGAGTACGGCGGCGATGGGCGTAGACATCTATGAGGCACGGATTTCGCAGTACTTGAAGTCGAGCGGATAGTGCCTCAGCAAAAGAGGATGGGAAGAAGGGAATGGAGAGCGGTACATGCTACATCCCCACACGTTGCTAGTTTTGTGAGTCATGAGAACCATGGATGCTACGTCACGCATATCAGGTTTACCACGTTTCCAGCATGATTGGCGGAGATAACATCGGAGGGCAGATTAACGGGAATGTGGTATAGACCTCGAATTGCAGGCATTGGCAGCGGCCTGTCGAGGGGGCATATCGAAATGAAATCGCATAGACGTAAAACACCTGGAATCGACAAGAGGAGCTCAACAAAACAGTAACAAGAGCGTGAGGGAGATATGCCATAGCCACCGAAAACATAAGATCCGGTAGGAACGAAGATGATGGAAGAGAGAGGATAAGATGGAAACGCCCAAAAGTCCTGATATACAAAGCTCTGACTTATGCATATCGGATATGGTGTAACGGCTAACATTAGCGCCTCTCACGCGCTAGCTCGGGGTTCGATTCCCCGTATCCGAATTATCGAGGAAAGGCTTCTCTTTTTGTTGTAGAGTCAGCGGCGCAGAGCTACATCATCTTACTCTCGAGTCTCGAATGAATACTGTAACTTAAGTATTTCCCACGACTCGGAGTCAAGCACGATCGGTTGTGTCGCGTTTAACGTTCCTCGGCTTAGCCGCGCGTTTGATGATAAGCCACACTTGTATCAATGCATCTTGTATACACATATGTAAGGACTACTCTGTCCATGCCTAGTGGTTGTTGACTAAACGTGCCTTGCATATGTAGCCTTTCCACTCTTTCTCCGAGTCCCGCTTGTAGGTCATATTCTCTGGCTTTTGCTGGGACTTTCTCTGCTTACACGGCCATTCATCTGGCACCGCGTACAATGCTTGCTGCTCTACTACACAGAGAAGATCGCGAGTATCCCATCTTCTTCGTAGAGTCGGGTAACGAGACTAGCTTGCTGCTTTCATTCAAAACCATCGGACGATATATCCAGTCTGATGAAGACAACGACTGTTGGGCATCGAGGACTATCTTTGCGAGTAGGAGAAGTCGCATGGCCTCCATACTATTTCCGCATGCGCGAGTGAGCTGATCTATGTATAATGTAACCAATTCTCCATCTCCTGCCTCCGAGTCTAACCTTCATTTGGCAGGCTTGATATCCACATTAGCGTGGCGCACACGCGTATCATAGCCCACTTACCAGACGCGCATTTAGTCCGAATCTCGCTACTGAAAGCAACTCCCTGACGGATACTACCGTGCGCGTAAAGAATGTCAGATTTCACTCTTGCTGACAGACATAATCCCAGTCGCAGCTAATCTACAAGGCTCTGTTGGGACTCAGCACCTCCTTTCTTCCGGCGCATAGGCTCTCTAGGTCTTCTGAAAAACCTAAACGCCAGAGCATGACCATACTTTGCTCTACGCATATTAGAGGAAAGAGAGACAAAGACCTGGGCCCTTATGCTGAGACAAGAGATTGGCGAGGCTTATATTGCCGAGCATAATGCAGCGAAAAGTTTGGGTCTTTCTCTTTCCTTTGAGTTGAGTGCAACCACATGCTGCTGCTACTACTATTACCCGCTATCGACCAACTATCCACTATCACACTGACTCTTTTTTCTCTGCAATTTGTGGTCTGGGTCGTGGTAGACCAAGAAAGCATATAGGTGCTTGGAGCTGAAACAAGCTAACTCGGATATGGTGTAACGGCTAACATTAGCGCCTCTCACGCGCTAGCTCGGGGTTCGATTCCCCGCATCCGAACTGCACTGATTGCAGAGTTTTTGCGTCAAGATACTTGCCTGTCCACGGAATTCGCTCCAACTCAGGACTAAAAGCAAGAGCCATCTCCCCTCAAATCCGCGGACCTACGAGTGTGTCACGAATCGCGGTGTTCGTATTCCTCGCCGCGACCAAAATTTTCACTACACCGTTACGTGGACGATAAGCGGTAATTCGCATATCCTCGACGCCGCCCTAGAGTCGACATCACCTCGCCCATCGCACCAACAACAAAAGGCAAAAGGCAACAAAAGATGAAAGGGAATCAAAGATATAAACATCGAAAAAATACTAGGTATATAAACTTTAATAAATCGCTAGGGTATGTATAAGTAAAGTAGATCATCAAGGTCATATCAAGAAAAAACGTCCTACAATCACTTCTTGTCCCCGTCAAAGAACGCCACAAGTTGCCCAATGGGCACCTTGCCAATCGGCTTTGGCATTGCCACCTTGTTCGCACTCATCGTCTGCTGCCGCACCTTGTACGGATCCACAAACGTCCCCGCCCCAATACTCGCATTGCTCGACAGGCTCAAGCTCCGCTCGCTCGACTTTGAGCGCACACGCGGCGTCAGCGGCGCCGTCGGCGTCTGCAGCGACGAAAAGCCATACACGGACTGCGTCCGCGTCCGTCGATCACTCAGACTCGGCGGCGGCGACGTCTCGCTCAACATGCGCGCACTCGACTTTTTCCCAATCGTCTCCTCCCCAAAATCGTCGTCGTCATCGTCCTCCTCGTCCTTACCCTTCTCATCGTCACTCACGGCTCCAGGGCTCTCTGAAAAGAATGCCCGCCCAATACTCTGCTGCTCCTCTGGCTCATGCGGCGGGACAATAGGACCTCCAAGCGCCACAGTATACCGTTTCCTTGGGGTAGGGGTAGGACTAATACTCGTACGACGCGAAGAGGAGATGGAAGGCGGTGGCAAGCCGCTCGTGGCTGAAGTTGTGGCTGAAGTTACCGATGATGTTGAAGACATGGAAGATGTCGATGCCGCAGGGTTAGGCAAACCCGAAATGGAGACGGCGCGCGAGTGAGGAGGTGGGGATACTGGAGGTGAAAAGGATCCTTGTGGGATGATTGTGCTGTCGGGTGGCGAAGCGTAGTCGCCTGTGGGATATGGAAGCCGGCTAGTAGACGTTTTTGCGGAACCTAGAGGCGGGCTGATCGTCGCCTGCTGAGATTGGTATCTATTGTGGTGAGGAGTAACCATGGTCGACGAAGTCAACTGAGGCGCAATAATTTCGGCCGACTGCCTGGTGGGTCCCGACGACAGGTTAGCAGGCGCGGTAGCAATCTTGGCCATTTCACGTCCAAGCTCTCCTACCCGACTCTGCATCTCGGAAAGCTCCTCGCGAATTTCCTGAACGTCTTTTGCCGAATCATGGGTGTCCTTTTCCTTTTCATGTATGGAAACTTGTTCGTCCTCTTTTTCCTTTTCTTTATCCACCAACCACCGTTCCACATCGCTCATGCGCTCTTCGAGAGCGCGAACATGGCCCACGGTCCATTTCTCGAGCTTTTCAAAGCGCTTGGCGATAGTAAGCAGTGTAACGTGCACATCTAGGGTACCGTTGGCATCAAACTGCGCGTAAAGTGGAGGTGCCTCGCGAGAGGGCGACGAGACAGATGATGGCTCTCCAGTACGCATAGGAGAGGGTGACAGATTAGGCGGCGGAATGGTTGGACTGGGACGTGAAGGGGTGGGAGAAACATTCGGGGAAGAGACGGGACGTCGCGGTGGAGGTGTCGTCGGGAGCGTCGAGTTTAGATTGAGAAAGGCAGGATCGCTAAACTTGTTTGAGGTATTCGCAGGCCATGCTTTTTCCTTTCCCTTTGAGCCCTTCTTGTCCCTTGCCTTTGTCTCCTGTATCACCTGCTGAGCAGGCGTCAACTCCTTGGTCGGTGTCAGCTTGTTCTTGACGACCGACCAAAGCCCGTCCTTCTGGGATGATGCTGGCGACGGCGGGTTCGGCATCGTCTGTGAGCGCGATGGCGGTGGAGGCAAGGATCGCGTACTCTCCAGCATGGCAAGCACCCGATCCTCAACCAGCTTGCGCCCAGCTGCCTCTTCAGTCAAAATACGCTCTGCCTCGCGTCGGCTGCGTTCTCGCTCGCGTTCTGCCTCGGCTTCGAGCTCAGCATCGGTGGGAAGTCCATTGGGCGACTTTGCCGGGGACATCCAGGTGCCCATGCGCTGCGCAAAAGTGGCTGCGATCTGCGACATGGACGAGGACGGCGACGGCGAGCGCATCCACCGGTTGTCCTCTTCTTCGTCGTCGTCGTCGCCTGCTTCTGATTCGGCATCCATGTCGATTCCCGTGAACGTGTTGGGTATGAATTCGTTCCGTAAAGGCGATGGTGGTCGTCCCGCCGGGGATGTCTTTTCGGGCTGCAGCCAAAGGAATTTACTTTATGCTCACGGTCTAGATGGGGCCTGCTCACCAGTGTCAACGACGTGGCCGATGGACTGGTCATCCTTCGCTGCCGTTTCAAGTCGGCTCCGGGGCCCGTGGGGAGCTGCAAATTCGAGCTCATCGAGCGGGTCGACTGGTGCGACGGGCTCGACATTGCTGAAGAGACTGTCGTCGTCGCCGTCGTCGACGACGAGCAAGCTGGTGGTGGTGGGAGTTGAGAAGCACGGGATTGCCAAATTGAGCCGAATTTCCAAAATCGGCCTTTTGCTTGACTGCCTCCGCCGTCCATGGGCACTTGCAAATAATATATGCGCGGATGAGAATGAGCTGTGGAAGCTTATAGTACTTTGTAGTCACCTCGAGGTATTGTACGTCAGATTACTTATAGTTGTTTACTCAATATAATCGGTGGGCACGTCGGTGAGATGCAGTGATTCCATGACTGGTGGTGGCAACGCGCCACGACTAGCGAGATGGTTTGGCAGGTAGATGGCATAGCTATACTACACCACTTGCACGGAGATATCCGTAGTATAACATAATACAAGTTTGCAAGTAATGAAGATATGGTATATGCGCTGTGTCCAGAGATAGATCATGAACACAATGAGAACGGCGCAAAATGGTGCTGCGGTACACTGGCGGACGACATATCGCGCATGAAAGGGCCGTAGGGATAACTGCAAGGGCGCGCCAACGAATGATGTACCTTGCCGCCCCGCTTGATTAGCAGTGCACTAGTCTCCCCTAGGCAGACTCAATTGCACTATGAGCGGCGGCGACGTTCCCTACACAATGTCTAGATGAGAGAGCGCCGCTTTTCTCGACCTTACGTGCAAGACCACCAAGCCTACGGATGAGGACACATCTGCCAAGTTGGAAAAGGTCATAAGTGTCGGGTCGGCAGCGACGACGACGATGCGTGGACTGTACCAAATATAAGCAAAGACGTCGAGTAGTAATGATCACATACCTTCAAATCCAATGTTCACTAATCTTGCTAGGATCTGCGGGCCGAATGGTGAACGAGTTTCATATGTGAGATATGATGGTGGTGTATGTCGGACTTATGAACTGCTAATCAGAGTCAGTACTGAAGAAGTAAAGTCAATAGGAAAGTCCTAGCCTCATCTAACTGATGGAGAGGAGCCAGTCAACAAGTATCGTTAACATCCAAGTAATGTACACATCCGACGTACTACTACTATTACTAACAAGCAGGTCGATGAAACAGCAAATCATGGTTAAAGTAGTTCACCCGATCCAAAAACCTACATCTACACACCACACACACAAGGTGCACAGCAGCGAGATGTTCCTTCACCTCGTCTCTCGATAATATCCTCTCCTCACACCCCCACACCCAACTTGCATGCGCCACCGCAAGATGCTGCTGCACCAACGTATGATGCACGTACCACCCACACGGACACCTTCTCCAGTCCTCATGAAACTGAGCGCAATGTTCCGCCACCTCAGCATAATACACCTTGCGACGACATCTAGGCATCGGGCATGGAGCCCATTTCCCGCGGCATTTCTCCTCGAGATGCTATCTCAACGTCGTGAGTCTCTACAACCAATCAAAGCAACACAAGGCAAACACCCACCCGACACAGCTCCATGTCATCCTTGAAGCCCAAGCCACACTCCTGACACGTCGGATGATGTGGCGAACCGCGATAATGCTCTTGAAGACTCTCCAAAGTCCGAAAGTGGCGTCGATGATCACTATGGCGGCGACATCCGCCTCCTCGCCTATCGTATATACACCCGACACGACAGGCCCAAAAATCGCAAACAAAGGTCGACTTGAACGCCAAAAAGCGGCTGCTACGAGAATTGTCTCCAGGTGTTATGGAATCGTAGAGTCAAACAACGTGCTCACCCCGACATCCGCTGGGTCATTAGTGAAGATGAGAGAACAAAAGCCACACCGAGTCCCACTTGATTTTATAGCACCAGATGCTGTACTATCATGAGCTGTAGAAAATCTGGCCGCGCGTCAGTCATGGGAAAGGAAGCGACGGGGCTGTGTGTGGGACCGCGCATCGTCCCATCAAATGGAGAGAAAACAATCAGACAATAAGCGCCCAAGAAGAACAAGGGAATGTGGGCTCACATATAACCGATGACGCTAGATTTTCAAGCAAGTCAGTTTTCAGAATAACAGACAGTTGCAAACCAGTGCAGCAATCATCGTTGGCGACTAGACGCGTCGTGGGGCGTGGGAACAGATCCCCAAACTTCACCCGGCCTCTATTTTCAATTATCATCAATAACCTACACATCTACACATAGATCAACAGTCCAAAGTAACGCAAGCAAAGGATAGCATATAACTTATTTCATCACCTCTAGATCGTTTCCACCCCCGCAACCGCCCCAATAAGCGTCGCATCAACCGCCTTCGCCATCCTCTCATCCAACCACTCGTCCAACTCTTTAAAGAGCGCCATCGTCGGCGCCTCGCCCCCACCACGCGAGTACACAACACCATCCTCACTTTCCGCCTGCTGCAGGTACGACTCGTACGCCCTCTTTTTCCCAGGCCACATCGC